TGCCGCGAAGTTCTTTATATCTCTCCCTCTTTCTCTTTTTCTTCTCCTACTTTTTTAAGCGCGTCCATTCACTTCGTTAGTGCTTAGACTTGTCATGTTCAATCCACTTAGAATATATATTGACGGTAATAAGAAAGCACGTTCTTCGAATATATAAATTATTATTTATGATTTGACTGGAGAAACTTGATCTTCTATATTTATGGCAGTTTTTTCTTCTATAGCAAGAAGTCATCTGAATACTGGTTGTCTGCTCTTGCGTTTTTATTTCAGCAATAAGTCGTGTGAATACCAGTTAATTGCTCTTCAATGGTAATCAGTTGTTCGGTCGTAACAAACTCAAGTGAACTAAGCTACCCTAACACGAAACCTGTTAAAAAACCGTTATCAGTAAAAATGCAGTTATTTCTTTTAAGGGTAGACATAGGCAAGTGTTTTCTGACGTGTGCTGCAATGCTATCTCGCTGGAACACCTATAGCCGCTCTAAGACACGAGTCTAAGTTTGATATTGCCCCGCCGCGGTGGTCTAGTGTCTAAGGGACTCGGCTGCTGACCCGCAGGTCGCGGGATCGAGTCCGGGATGCGGCGGCTGCATTTCCGATGGAGGCGGTAATGTTGTAGGCCCGTGTGCTCAGATTTGGGTGCACGTTAAGGAACCCCAGGCGGTCGAAATTTCCAGAGCCCTCCACTACGGCGTCTCTCATAATCATATGGTGGTTTTGGGACGTTAAACCCCACATATCAATCAATCAATCAATCAATCAATCAATCAATCAATCAATCAATCATCAGTTTTATTTTGACGAAGCCGCACGCTGCGCTCGTGCACGGATGAGCGGGCGTGACAGCTTTGTAGAGCAGATTACGCATGAAATGGCGATATGGGGCAGCGGTGGTGCTTTGTTCTCCCTGTAAATACTCCAGAAGTAGCACGGTGGTTGCTTTGGCTGTTAAATTGTTTATGCAACAAATGGCACTCGTTGTTGGCTTACGCCTTTTCTTGCTCTGCGATTCTTTACTGAGGTTCGGCCCCGGGGCGTTTTTTTTTTCTGTGTTGTCTTTAGTGTTGTTTAAGTTCGCTATATATTCCAAGAGGGTCCATACGCAAAGCCGAGGGTGGGTAAGATATGCCGTGTTCGGAGGTCCGGAAGAGTAATGTTCGGGCTGAGGCGCGGGCAAGCTCACTGCCTCCAACTCTGCAGCGGCCAGGTATCCATATCGGCTGAGGTTCTCGTGAAAAGTGCTACGATAGAGGGCCGCGACTATAGGATACGGGACTAACGATTCCACTCACCGAACTTCTCACGCGCAGAACACCTAAACAGCGTTTCCCTTCCTCTCTTTCTCACTCTGCCTGCTTCCACAACCACTGCGTCACTTTCCCTCCTGTTTGCATATCGGCAGCTTGTCGTAGCCTCACGTGAAAGTATATCTCAGTTGTATCGCCGTGACTTCGAGGCGCTATGTCTTGGCCTCCCAATTGACATCCCACGTGCGCAGACATGCAGACATGTCTTTGGGGCAGATAAAATGCCGCGGCAGCTTTCGGTTGTCCCTAATACCGGTGGTACATGGGTACTTTCGATGGCGATGAGGGCCTACCCGATTCAGAGTTGTTGATCGCGATCAGCAAGTCCGAGCTGCTATACGGTACAACCTCATCCGGATTGAGTTTTGCGCAGGCGGTAGTCAAGTCGCGATGAGAGATCGCGAATTTCTCGATCCCAGTCGTGCTTGATCGCGATTGAAATTGACCTAGCTCCTGATCCAGATGGGAACCGATCGTGATCAAAAGTGCCTTCATGACAACGGTATAGGTTAGTAATTGGGATTTTGACGTATCCGATTTCTATCCCTATATTGCGAACCTCCTTATTTAACGAAAGAATTGAACTGCGGTTATCGCTTCGTTAACCCAAGTTTCAGCTGCAAATAGTCAGAATAATAAAGCTTCCAGTAAGAAAAAGTCTTCTGTAATAATATCATTTCACATGTGGCGTAGCCCTCCACAACAGGTGTTGGACGCCATTTCGTGAGTTTCTTATCACATAGGTACAGCAGGCCTGTTTGCCTGTTTTGAAATCTTCTCTTTTGTCGCGTGTTCTATCCTATGAGGCACATTTATTGAACTTGTCTTTCAGCTAATACAAAACATCAGTTGAGGTCTCACAAAAATTTTGGGGACACGTACTGTGGGATTCTTTCTTGGCGTACAAGTACGCTACACTCGTTGTTCTCCACATACACGAGATGATATTTGCGATAACCGCCCTCGCTCGAGCAAACACCGATAAGCTGGAGCGATCGATCACAACGTCGAACGAAAGCAGCAGCCGAGCGAATCTCGCGAACAGTGTTCAAACAACACAGATCTCATTGTTGGGAACTAGAGAGAGCAAACGAAGCAGAATTCACCCTTCAGATCAGCGATTTTTTTTTTCGAAGAGCACGGTAGATGGGTAAATAACGGATCGTCGCGAAGAGTAGTCGAATTTTTAGGGCTCCTTTCGAAACACAACGGAGATGGGAGAAGAAGCGTTCAATTTAGTCCTTGTTTTAGGTGCAGCCGCGAACCAGGGTGCGGAGAAATTTTGAGTCGATACGATTAGAAAAAGATCAAAAAGAAAAATGGTAATGGAGAAACCAAAGGAAACTTCGAGGAAACTGGGGAACACTGGAACAGACTAGTGGATCGTCAGAATATTGATGGGTCTCAAAAGGGCGGGCTCAGAAACGAAGAACAAGTGGAGTAACAACAGGAGAAGAATAGTAATTGAAAGAACAAAACAAAACAATAATAATGACCTAAAGAAAATAAGAACATTTGGAGCAACTTTTTAACTTCACAGGTGTTTATGTAAACTCGGAGTAAGGCCGATGTCGCGTGAAAGAATACTCGGCAGACATGTGTCCCAGGCGGTGAGTGCCAAGCAACTGCCAGCATAGCATATAATGCGTTGTGTAGAATAGCAAGGTAGTGGTAAAAAAAACAAAGTTTGGTGTGAGGAGGAATGCTGTTCCTTGATCAGGTAGGAAACGAGGACGCAGGAGAGTAAAGCATGGAGTAGTTTTGTGTAGTATAGCCTTAGCGCCTCTGACAGTGGGCATGTGCTAGGCAGCTGCTAGCATAAGATAGTCATGCATAGTTTAGTGCAGGAATGAAGTGGGAAAGGGAAGTGGGGATGATGAGTGATGTAAGAGTTGGAAGGAAGGAAAGAAAGAAAGAGTGCAATATATGAAGAGACAAATAAAAAAGATCGAGTGAGAGAGAGAAATATTCAAGTAATCAATAAAGAAAGAAAGAAAAAACAAACAAACAAAGAAGGAAAGAAAGAAGAAAATAAATAAATAAATAAATAAGTAAATAAATAAATAAATAAATAAATAAATAAATAAATAAATAAATAAATAAATAAATAAAGAGAAGCTCCATCTACGTTCGCCACGTTGCTCTCTCAGCTGTTCACTCAAATTTCACAGGTGTAGAGCTAGCCTTTTTTTTTTTCAGAAATAATTTCAGAACTTAATGGACTCGTATTTGCGGTTTATGATGGAGGGATTTGTGACAAATCCTCGGCGTATTCGACCTCTTCATTGTATAATTAGAAGCACTACTCTGGTTCTTTGTATCTTTCAGCGTGCGTGGCACGTGGCGTTTCCTCGCGTCTTTGTAGCTCATTAAGTCATCGTCTTTAACCATCTTCTTAACCATCCTTAACATCCTCTTTAACCCAAGGTGATTGAGCACCATTCGAACAGATTTCATCTTTCGCATTTCGTGCCATAGCGAGTTGGGTGAGCCAGTCGTGTTAAAGAAGATTTCCCAGTGGCGGTGAAATCGGTCTTTTTGGGCGAATTACACGGATGACCAAACTGAAGCAGTAAAGCCTCTTATAAGTCGCACTTGTTGAGAGTGGGCGAGTGCAATAGCGAGAATCGAGAAGTCTGTGAGGTGATTCGATTTCCTTTGCGTTAAGTAGCGTGCTTGTCATACACCGTTTATGGATGGCCCATCTTGATAAGCGACGTATAGGGGGAGCGCATCTCAAAGTATTGAGTAACCGCGCAAGAAGGAATTGTGTCGAGATGTGATGTATCGATTATCCCGGTCCGGTTATTACGTACCGTGTAACAGCTGCCGGTCTATAGGGATAACGAGTCGTGTATATTGCTACTGTTAAGTGGCGTACGACAATGTAACAGCTCGAGAAGAGAGAGAGCAGTAAATAAAAAGTAAGACGCCGGCTGCTTCGTCATGCGATTATATTTACCTTCTACTCTCAACTGGCGATCGTGATTACGTCATTACCGGTGCGTAGATTTACTGTTCCTACGCAATCAGGAGAAGAAAATAATTTCGTCAAATCCAGAGCAGGCGGGCATTGCGGAACGATGTAGAAACGAGGCGATGTCGAAAGCTTCGTGGTACACGCGCATGCAACAGCACGCTTTGCACAGCTTGTCAAATCTGGAACGATTTTCGCAGTTCTCAAGCTTTGGAACAGCTTTAGGTCGTGCGAGTGGGAAGTCACCGAATGGGTGCGGATACAGTGGGAGGTGAAGGGTGAGGAAGTAGCAAGGAGGTTTAACTTAGGTTGTGCCCGGTCGACTGTGATACGCTAAGCAAGCAAGAAAGTCTGCATTGAATGCATGAGCCCCGTCGCGGTGGTCTAGTGGCTAAGGTACTCGGCTGCTGACCCGCAGGTCGCGGGTTTGAATCCCGGCTGCGGTGGCTGCATTTCCGATGGAGGCGGAAATGTTGTAGGCCCGTGTGCTCAGATTTGGGTGCACGTTAAAGAACCCCAGGTGGTCAAAATTTCCGGAGCCCTCCACTACGGCGTCTCTCATAATCATATGGTGGTTTTGGGACGTTAAACCCCACATATCTATCAATCAATCATTGAATGCATGAATAAGGTGTACAGTGTGACCTTATCTTATGGTTATTGGGCAGATACCGATGCTCACATAGGCGGTATAGAGAGCAGTGTTCACTCACCTATCAGGTCCCACTCGCCATTGGGAATGTAGGTAGTCAGATCCCCGCCTTCCTCACTGTTGACACGAAGGTCCAGCTGATAACCGTGATAGGTCCAGGAGCCGAACTTCAGGTCGCACTTCTGATCGTCAAAAGGGAACCACGTAATGTCGATCTTGCACGTGCTCTTGAAGATGCCAGGAGGGATGTAGTTGCAACTGCCGTTGCTCCGCACGACCACGTTGGTCGGGTACGTGCCGTCGAACTTTTCGTCCGCGCTGCGCATGCGCAGGCGAGCACCAGAGGAAGAGCAGAGAGAAATAGGGGGAGGGGAGGCAGTGGGGTTAACGAAACACCAGATACGAGTTCATTAGTTAAACTGCATGCATAACTCAGCCAGCATTGACTGAGTGCATATGGCGTCACCTAGCTAAGCACAAGATATCGAATCCGAGTACTAGCCGCAGCAGCTGTGTTATGATTGGGGTGATTAAGCAATGTGTACCATGCATTAAAAGCACCGCGAAGAGTTCCAGGTGGTAGAACTCATCTTTGAGTGTTCATTCAAGGGTTTCTCACTGTCAATGCCTAGTAAATTAAAAACCACTCGTTAATTTTTTCCGGAAATCACTGTGGATGTACGCATACTTGATGTATTTCCTTCTCTTCTTGTCACCGATTTTCTTTTTTTGTTTTCGCAGTTCGCTGTGTATCAACTAATCGCTATGAAATAGCTTTTAGTAGTTATTTTCCTGCAAACGTCTACAGATGCTGACAATGCCTTTCGTCCAACGAAGCTGCCTTTCCGTGAAAGTAGAATCGTTGAAGCCAGACGTTTGAAGATAAACATAAAAGCCTTAACAAATTATTCTACGATGAAGCGGTCCGTGTGGCGTCGACGTTTCGACGGGAGAAATCACCCTTGCTCACTCCGTCGGTAAGTTGCTGCGATAACATTAACGTAAGCACCGAAATTATACGCCGTGTCTTAGTTTGCGATTTGTCTTGCATGGTCCCTCTGTTTTAGTTTAGGCTGCTGTTGTATCATCCACGCAAAACGACGGAGCTGTTACTTAAGCAAGTGTGTTCTGAAATCATCTGAATGCAAGGAATTTCCGAAGAAGAAATATACTCCTCCGGCCTCTTCGGCCGCAATATTTCGTAAGCTGATGTTTAAATGTACTCGCTTTGCATTACGTCTAAACTCCCAGCCTCAAGTTGAAGTATTGACAACACGAGGCAATAACCTATTGACAACCTGCTATTTGCGATCAAGTGTGTACGCTGAGGTTAAAACGAATGCACAATCAAGGCGGCAGCGCAATTTATCTCGCGGCAAATATCAAGGACGACCCTTTGGGCACTGCAGTATCCAATATTCACTGTGCTATTAACAAGTACCTAAACATGCTCGAAAACCCTTTGGTGAAATTTCGGACGTAACGTTTTTAGGTTAAGGAAGTGATCTTTCGTTACGTATCTCACTACTCATGCGCAGTTTCTGAATGGAGCTGTTTAATATTTCTTTCAATTTTTCGCGAACTAAGGCGAGTGCCAAATATATAAAAATTATTAATCTGGCGATAATGTCCAAAATGAAGTTCGATACTATTTCTTTTTTCATCAATGAAGTCTACTGCTTTACGTATTCTTATACTGTCAGCCTTTCTTAAAGAAAGCGTCTGAAAAATCTGAGTAGCTTTTTTTTTTTCACTTCAATGTATTGGTTGTTGTGGTGTAATGAGGCAACTTTCACCTCGGTTTGGTTGATACCTCCGTGTTCTACAAAAAAAGATTAGAACTGTTTGAAGTTATAGTTACAATGAAAAAAAAAATGGCGATGATATAGACAATGTTATCAGGATGGAGCGCTCTATAAGGAAGTAATGTCCAACTAGAGATATTCTGGATACACTTTATTGTTCTCAACCATCTTTGAGGGTGCTGCAACTGGTGATTAGGTCACACTCAACCGCGTGCACCTTACTATTCGACGAAGCAGCTTTACAACACACGGTTTGCCAAAAAAACTTGGCTTGACACACGCGATCTTGCGTGCACGCTATACTGCACGTCGTAACTCAACTGTCTTTCTCGTTTTTTGTTTTCTGGGGGAGTAGTATACGTTAGGTGCGGTCACTCGAGAGACTGCTGCTAAAAATGCACTGAAACCCGGATCCTAATCCGGCGCTGTGCACAAGAGAACTGCATTTATTAAAATTAAACAATAAAAATCGACAATCGAAATGTTTCAACTGGTTCGCAAGGAAACAAACTCTTTACGGCAGTCTGCGAAATTACTTGTGACTCTTTGAGATCGTATGCGAGATTAGGCAAAGTTAGTCAAAAGGTAATTCAATTACGTTACAAACTACAGCTGATTGATCCTAATAATATAACGCGAGTAAACGAAGGAAGGATATTTCGAGAGCTCGTTCGTTTGTTTTACGCAACGCTAACGAAATTAAGGAGATAATAAGAGCCAAGGAAGGCATAGACAAGTGCCGCCGTAGCTCAATTGGTGAGAACATCTGGCGAGTAGCACGAAGGTAGCAGGTGCAATCCCTGCCGACGGCATGTTGTTTTTTTCACCTACTTTACTTTCATCACATCTACATCACCGTTAATACAATACAAATAAAGGGGCCCTGCATAACTTTTCCAAACAATCATAATGGCACGAGCCCGGTGTGCCACTCTCCGGCTATACGGCATCATTTGTATAGAGGAGAGGGAACGATTTCTAGCTCAGATTGAAAATAATTGTAAATTCCATGCCCCGTGGTGCTCTGTAGTGTTTGGCTCACGTATTTTCAAGAGCCTCGACAATCAATCGGCTGCGTGTCTGACCACGCTGCAAAAGCGTCGCGGGGCCTCTTTAAAACATTAGAACTAACATTCTCTTTTCCTTCCTTGGCTTCACTGCCTGCTGGCATTAATCAATGCTGTGTGATTACATGGCTGCAGCTTGAAAGAAAGAGTCATGAAATTACTTTGAAGTTCAATTTGATGTTACTTGAAATAAAGAAAGTTTATATTTTATGCACTAGCTGTACACTTGATTTACAGCACATATACAAAGAAATACATACAAATTAATCATTTACGGTGAAATTTCAGTTTCGATCAGCGTTGCATCGCTCCAACGCTTGAAATTTGGCACTGATATTTAATTGTTTTCCTTATTTTATTTCCTTTTTTGGTCAATTTTAAATGCCATAAAGCAAGCGAGCACGCTGGATTCTAATCAAACTATTTGCGAAAGTAATGAGAAATCTTCTTCAATTTAATCACTTGAAATAATTCATTACATTTCTCATAACGACAAAAAGCTGTTTCGTAAACGTAATTTCGTTACTGTGATTTGATTACTCGAAGTCTGTCTTATGCTAAACATAATTCATGAGCGCTTTAGCACGTATCTAAATTAGTTGTAATCAACCACTCACCTGTTGTACATGAGCACGTCAGGCTTCCAAATTTTGTTTGGCGGAATACGCAGGTCCTGCACTCCGCCGTAGTCTTTTGGATTCCAACGTAGATTCACATCTATCCAATCCTTTTTTTTTTTTTAATGTCGAAGGTTCGGGGAGCCCACAGGAAGCAACAAAATGTATTGAAGTTGGCGATAATAAGACAGCAGAAAAAAACTCAAAGTGACATTTCGCGGCGTACACCACAGCAAACATTCGTTGAGCTCACTATCTCCGAGAGTGCGTACAAGTCTCCGTGCCCATGCTGCACTCATGACCCCCGAAAATTCGCACGCTGCACAGAAAACAACCCCTTGTTGACAATTTCAGAAGTCACGTTGCGTGATGCAGGCTGCTTTAGTGGGCACCCGTCGTTCCTGCTGCTCGTGTACTAGATAGATATAAAAAGTGACGTTATCATCTGCTAGTGAGTATAGAAAAAGCAGAGGTATAATTTATCCGACCTCGTTACATTGAGTAATAACGCTTAATTGAATATTGTGATAAATTTCATAGTTTGGCGCAATCTGATCTTATTGGTAAACAAAGAAATGCTGCTCCTGAATATTATACAGAAAAGCTTCGTGTACCTACAATGGCAGCCGGCAGATGACAAAGCTGACTGAATGGCCGGATACCGGCGTTTTGCATTATTCGCCCATCAGCCGCCGTCACTGTAACAATAGTATCACAGCTGCATTGTTTTACGTTGTGAAGGTATAAAAACAGAACGTGAATTGTGCACCGCATTTATGAAACCCTAGTCACAAAGAGCCACTCCGCGATGAAACAGTCCTTGAACATTGGCCATTAGAGAGTCGTTGTCGGTTACATACCAGATATGAGGTACGTGTTCAGATAAAGCTAGCTAATAAAAGTGGGTGGCATTATAGTAAAGGAGAGGCTTTAAATCATGGAGTGATATATATGGTAGCGTCATTTTTTTTTTGTTTTTCTGAATTCGACGTTTTTTATAGACTGTGACGACACCAGCAGCCTCTTAACCCTTTTTTTTTGTCTGCTTTCTGCAGCTCAGATATGGTGATTCATCAGGAGTATTGCCGTCTTCAACTTAACAACAAATACAAGCTCCACCCACGGTCATAACTGCCACTACAATCATTCTACCCAATCCCATTTGCTTGCTTTGGTGACACCAAGCCCCCCCCCCCCACCCTTTTTTTTTTTCATGTTTCAGCATGGCCGGAGAAGGAATGCCCTCACGCCTCTCCAGGGCGACCGCGGTTTCAGATAATTTGTGTTACGTTAGACACATGTACGAGACAATGGTTTTAAATAAAACGTTCAACACTCTTACAAATTTCGTCAATAATCCTAAATCAATGCTTGGCCAAAGGTCATACTTTAGGTTGGCACGTCGAACCTTTCCTTTTCGGCATGCGTGCCCTTTGCGTTGTGATATAAAATTACGATTCGAAAGCTAGCCTACGTGCGGGGCTCTTTTACATAACTTATCAACAAACGCACCATGATTCTGTGCGCCGAGCTCGTATTTATTCTTAGGTCTTAAACGACAGACAATGACAAAAAAGAGATACAGGACGGACGTGACTATCATGGTGCCCCCCCTTCCCTGCTTTGTAAGTGATAGGAGGTCAGCCTATGTATATGCAAGCTTTCTCTCAGGAGTAACCAAGGAGGTTTGCAGTAACCCACGGTAGTAAACAATAGTGTGCAACAGGTTGGCGTCTATGGAGTGGTTCATGACGTCAAAGAGTGCGATAGTTTCGAAGGTGAGTTTCGAAATTCGCAGGAGATATCGATCGATCTGCCATGTAAAACAGTCGCCCCCCCCCCTCCCTCCTCGGCACTGTTTACTGCGGAATATTTAGTTTCTTAGCTCTAGTTCATGGCAGCATCGCCTACAAATTGTGAGCGCTTTTTTTCCACACTTAAGAAATTCTTCTTTAGGAGAAGTTTCGTGAATATCGACTCTCACATCACGTCCCCAAGAGCTACCCGGTGAAAATTACGCAGCCATTATTCAAGGTTTCATTATTTGGTGCACTTTTTTTCCCGACTGCGACCTTACGTTATCGATTACTCGGTGATTGATGTCTTTTCGAGTACCGTGAAATGCACGATGAATGCACCTGGCATACCAGTAACAGCTCTTGCGCAACTTTTCAGAAATTTTGCGCAATGTTTGTCGTGTTTCGGCGAGAAAAGATGAACCTCAACCCATAAATAAAAAAAAAACTTATAATATATGAATAACGCTATTGTAGACCAGATCAACACTGCTTTTATTTCCAGAAAAAAAAAGAATTGCGCAAAACACACACACACACCACAGAAAGAACAAACACGACGGCAGCTGGTGTGCTTAGAGTGCTGTTTTTTGTGTTTGTGTTTTCTTGCGCAATCCTTGCTTTCTAGCCCCTAAAATGTGCTAATATACTGCGTTTATTTGTCCACTCAGCTTTGAAACAGTGTTAGTAGGGCATATTATGCTGCCTTTCTTTGTCCACTCAGCTTTAAAACAGTGTTAGTAGGGCATATTATGTGGAACTCACAATTTAGAAAGTACCTTGCACTGAATGACGGGTTCTGCAGACGTTCTGATATATTTCTACAATTGCGGGAGCTACGCAAGATGAGTTATATTGAGGTGGCATGGCATGAAATGTCATACAGATGTCACGTGACCCAATTGTGCGCTGAAAAAGAGGCTGCCTGTACGCTTCCCCGGCTGGACTCCGAGATCAGTTCGAGCAAAGTGCTGTGTTGCCAGAGCTAATACCGGAGGCCACGTCCTGCGCGTAGATTTTTTCACAATATTTGCTAGAAAACTTTGTGACACGGGGACTATCCAACCTCGTGAAAATCGATTATTAGCACATGTATTTGTGTAGTTCTCGTGCTTGCGGCTTGGAATGCACTTGTGGCTTTGTTTATTGCTGTGTTTTGGATTTTATTCGACATAGATTAATGGCTCACGAACTGATTTGTGTTGGGAAACGTCAATGGGTGGATGTTATGGAATGGGACTGCTGTACTTTTTACGAACACAGCCTTGCGACAAAGCGGCTGCTGGTTCCCACGAAGCCAAAAGAACAAAGGGTAGGTAAATTCATGTACTGCCCATCGTTTCCACGCTGGCTGAAGGGCCATGTGTTGTGGCTCCCATAGACACTGGCGCTTGGTTTCCCCATGCTCTACTAATATGAAACCCTGCGGCTTTAAAAACTGGTTGTCCTGAAGGCTGCCACTTGCGCCTTCAATGGCTGCTGGACTGCGCGGCCCGGCCTCGCGTCCACCGGCCGTTGCGCTGACCTTTCGGCGTGAGCCATGACGTAAATCGCCACAGACGGAACGCAGCAAGTCTAATACCTACAAAATTTATACAAGTTCTAGTGCATTTGCCAGGGTCGGTGTCACAGCCAACATTTGTATACACAGTTATTCACACCCTTCAGGCTTGTATAATGCTGTATTAGATTACAAAAACTAAATATATTTCTACAGGCTCACCTGATACGTATACGTGCACTTTTTTCTATTTATTAAAAAAACACTTTCATCGATATTTCACTCGTGCCAGTTGTTTCCTTCTAATAATCGACATCTTGACCTAACACGCTAATTGTTTAGGCCCAGAAGTTGATAAACGGAACATCAATATCTATAATCCCCTGAATGTTAATGCTTTAAAAAGCGGCTGGGAGAAAGGTTCCACCGTATACAAAGCCATTGCGGCTATTAAGTTTGCGAGCATTAGGCTGAGCCAATATAACGTGCCCAGCCCGAAAATAACGTGTACACCTCTCTCCGTGTCGTCTATACCACACGGTATTTCGACACGGCTTCGGAGAACCGAGGACGCGACGAAGCGCCCATTGCGTAGCTGATAAAATAGCTCAGCCACCCAATATAGGGCAAAAAGAACACGTGGGCGCGTGTCCCTCAATCTAAAACTGCATTCCGGGCTGCGAAGTCAAAATAAGGCTTACAGCACTGGACCTTCATTTAAAGCCAACAACTGTTCAACCCAAGCGAAAAGTATCGATGCCTTGAAGCGTTCTGACAAATGACCCTGTCGCTGTGAGAGCAATTAATGGACGATAAGCAACTTTGCCTGACACTTGTAATGAGGCTCGACCACTTCTGACTGAGTGTTCGATATTTACGGAAGCCCATCTTACAACAGGCTATAATCACTCTATTGGAACACCGATCTTTGAAGTGTGATACTTCCGTATACAATGCGACATGAATATATATATATATATATATATATATATATATATATATATATATATATATATATATATATATATATATATATATATATATATATATATATATACACACACTAGCGTGTGGAGACACCAAGCATACTTCGCTATGAGCAGTTAAACGTTAAACAATTGGCTTGTTATAAGTGCGAGCTGTTTCCCGCTTCTATGTTGACGTTAAAAAAGAATAAATAAATACTGCCTTGCAAAGCAGTCTCATTAACGCCCCTAAGCAAACTAAAACAATAAACAGACTATTTCTATGAAAAATAAACAGAGCGGTTATTCCGAGTGCTTTCGACCGCATCGGGATATCTATTTTTCAAAACTGTTGCGTTGTAGCTACTTGAAAACAAACATGGCTACTTTGTTTACACAGTTCTTTTTTTATAATTGGAAAGTTATATGAATAAAAGAACCCGTACCTTTATGATGAAAAAAAAAAAGATATTTTTAGCAGAACTATGTTCCACCGCGGGTACAAAAAATAACAAGACAGGATAATTAGGTCGCAACGGAAAACTGTTTCAAGACAATAGCACGAACAGTAACGGTGCCCTTAAATATGTACGTAAGGGCTAGGAGTAAAACGGGAAGAAAAAATATATCGACAAGAATAATTTCTCTTCTGAACTGAGACAAACAACACTCAACTTACATTTTATTAAAGAATCTACTGAAGAAACATATTAACGAAAATTAGGCCAACTGGAAATTATTATTTTGTTGTATATTCGCAATACGTTCATTTCAGGGTGCTAAATGGTAGTTCAAGGAGCCTAATTTCGATTCGCCTTATTCTAGAACAAAGGTGCACATCCTCAATT